GCGTGTGTGTAGAGAGAGAGAGAGAGTGTGTGTGTGTGTGTGTGTGTGTGTGTGTGTGTGTGTCCTGGGAGGAGTGGGCATTGTCATTTTCGACCTTACTGGTCTCCCTGGAAATGCAGACATGCATCCCAGTACATTCATTCTTTAGTTTCTCTCAGAAATAGTTCTAGAATTCTAAACCCACAGGCGTCTTTCCAGCTTCCTTATAAGAGTTGTATTTTGACCTGTCAACAGGCTGTGGTAAGACTTCAGTCCTGCGAGTGGTGACTTTACATGACAGGATATCAGAGTCCCTTTCAGACTGCATTCCATACCGGTCTGCCTAGCTCTGCAGTCTGCGGGCTAACTCCTGTTGTCTTGTGGCATGTGGAGCACTATGAGATAGCGTGAGTTTGGGTCTTGTCAGGAAGGCTGATTAAGCCCCAGTCAGAGACAGCGTCCTAAGTGTGAAATACAACAGGCCTTTCCCAAAACAGCTTGATCCGCGAGCTGCTGGAGGTGGTCAGAGCTTTTCTGTTGCAGGGTAGGGTGCTCACTCACAAAGCAAACACATTTTTCTCTATCAGGGATGAGGTCTATGGTGATAACATTTGGCAAGTTGAGTGACAGGGTACATAGATAACTGAACAGATGGGCAACTATTAAAAGATTGAGGGGCTTCCATCATTTATCAAATGGCCTTCACCCACCTCCAGGATCTCCAGGTCTCCTGCAGGGTTATGTAAAGAATTCAATTAAATGTCGTCTTCCTTTTTTTCCCCTTCAATTGCAATGGAAGCAAAAAGCTGTGACGTGAAGAGAGAAAGAATAGATGAGAAACTTCTAATTTTGAATCCCTTTAGGATTAGATGCAGATTTCAGCCACGGAGAGAACACTGCCCCATATTTTGAAAGAGGAGCTGCTGGAAGTTTCAGGAGAGATGACTTTCCAAAATAGCCAGTGCACTCCGCCACCCGTATCTGGTGACCGTCTGACATTTGGGCACAGATTTACAGAGACATACACATGTTTTGATAAGTATAACCTTGCTTTTAAAAACAGCAGTGGCGCGTCATCATTGTACTTAAGCTCCAAACTAACAGAATACAGAATACAAAAGCGTGATCTGGTTCCCAGCAGAAATATAAGCTATGTTTACATACTTAGAGCAATGAAATTTGTCCGAGCTGTAGAGAAGTGGTGACTGATTCGGAGCACGCCTTTGCTCTGAATGATGCTTGGAAAGTTCCTAAGAGTGAGAAGAGCTATGGGCATGGAGGAGGATGAGGCATGTTCTGTTCTCTTTGGTGTAGCAGTCTGATTTTGCCAAGCTCAGAACTGTGTGGTCAGGGTCACGGGGCCATGCACTGGTTCTCACAACCCTGACCAAATTAGATTGGGTTTTATTCCTCAGAAGTTGCCTTAATGACATATAAATCCTAAAACCAATAATTTTAAGGGACTTTGCACATTCATTTAGATATCTGTGTGGAAGCAGGAAGCTCTACTTTTATACCCAGTCCTTTAGTGAGTTACAATCCGTTTATCCCAGGCAAGAGTACTAAGTAACTGAAGATCCTCATTGCCCAAAAATCACACCTATAATACTAAAGTTTGCCCCCAACTAAGCAGGAGCCCTAGAAAAAGGAAATTGTTATTTTTATATTTTAAATTAAAATTCCCAACATGCAGGATAATCATAATTTAAAATAATTCAGCAACAGAAACACTAAGAATAAGTGGAAAAGCGTTCACTCATGGCTTCTCCTTGCCTGCTGGATGACACGGTTTCATGAACTCGGTTCTCCTGTGCAGGGCTGTTAGGTTTTATGTAACTGAGTAAACAGGGATTATCAGCGTGTTTAGTGTCCCCTGAAGAATTAGAGTTTAACAGAAAGAGTTATTGGAAATATGCTCCTATCATTTAGCAGACTGAGGGTTGGCGGTATTAATTTTGAGCTGTGTGTTCTCAGGCTTTTGAGTGTGTGCTACAGGTGGGTTGTATCCTGTAACTAGGCAGCATCCACACGGGCACTTGAGATCGGTGTAAAGGGGGTGGCGGTTTGTGTATTACACAATGGGCTTGTAAAAAAATCACTGAACTCAGTAGAAAATAAGCTCAATATAATTTGCTACTTTTTTTTCTTTTTGCTCCAAGTTTTATTTTATTCTTAACTTCAGAGATTCTTGATGTGCAAAAATACAACGGGACAGCAAAAAGTTAAAAATTGGAATTAAAGCATGAGTTCATTTCAATGCAAAAACTTTAAATCTATGCATACCTTTTTTCATAATATGCATTTCTCATGCATTTTTTGAAGACCCCTTGTCCTCCTTAAGTAACTACAGCCATTTCCCAGTTTCCCTTTTTGTTGTCCTTCTTGCTGTTGTTAAGTTTGATGGTGTCGGTTTGCTAATCCTCCCATGCTCACTTGGCCTCCCTTTGTGCCTGTTTTTCTAGAATGGCAGACATGCAGGGACTGATGGAAAGACTGGAGCGAGCAGTCAGCCGGCTGGAATTGCTGTCTGCAGCGTCACACAGGCCTCCTGGGGACTGTGGGGAAGTTAACGGTGTCAATGGAGGTAGGGCCACACTGTTGTCATGACTGATCTCTATGTGGGTCACTTTATTTTTTTCAGATCATTTAGTTCTCACTGAGAGAGAGAGAGAGAGCTACTTCCTTCAGTTTCCCTACGCCTTCATTTATACCAATGACTTCAAAAAGTTCCTGGAGCCAGGAATGGTGGTGTGTGCCTATATCCCAACGACTCAGGAGGCTGAGGCAGGAAGAACATGAATTCAGGGCCAGCCTAGGCAATGTAGCAAGATTCTGTCTCTAAAAAAATTTTTTGAGGGGCCAGCAGGTGGCATGGTGGTTAAGGGTACTGGACTCCTACATGCTGACCGTGGTTCAATTCCTGGACCTGGCGACTTGCTTTCTCACTTTCCCTCTCTCTCTCTATCCCTTTCTGGTCAAATTAAAAATAAATAAGTAAAGTTAAATGAAATAATTCTTATGAAATTTATATTTTGTTCATAGAAAATGAAATTAAAATTGAGTTTATTTTGGTACCAAAGAGGTTTGATATCTACACATAGTTTTTTCTTATATATGTTTTCTGTGAATCTTTTGAAGACCTCTCATATGTAACTGCTATATTACCCAGAGGCAAGTAACCACTAGGAAAGAGAAAGGAAAAAAAAAGAGTTTCAATCTACAAAAATGACTGATAACCATGCCTCTTGAAAGAATAATTCGTGGGCCAAATGTCATTTTCTTTTTTTTAAATACAGCTTTTTTTTTTTTTTTTTGCTATAGGATGCATGTACTCACCAAAGAGAGACAGAGAGAAAGTGAAAAATCACTCTGCCAAGGGGGTTGACTATGCCTCGTTCCCTACCCCTCTATTCTCTCAGGATTCTGAGCATGCACGCACATGCACCCAGCATGTGTTTCAAGCTGCCAGATCGGGGACTTGAAGCACGGTCAAGTGCATGAGAGTCCAGTGCCTTAACCACCACACCACGCTCTGGCCCCTGAATGTCATTTTCTTTCATTGTAGTGTTCATATTGCTGTTCCACAGTCAATACCTCAGCCTATTATCTAAGCGATTATCCAAAAAGAAACTAATTTTCTTTATTAGAATATAGATTGGAAATAATTATCATTCTGTAGATTTTTCATCTTATAAAGAACACATCATTATGTTTAGGAACTACAGTTTTGAAAGAAATTAGTCTGATGTGAGACCAAAGATGACTTTGAGGTAACATGGCCAACACTGCATTGTTTTACTGTTGCCTAGCCCCAACCAAATATACTTTTACGACTATATACAAATACTCCACTTTAAAAATATATTCTTGAGAATTATATGATGAAAAATAAAAAGCTAACTACTTTCTTTAAAAGGGTAGCACATTTGGTAAACTCTCCAAGTTATCTGCAATAGGTTTTCCAATTCCTTCTAGTCTCAGGTTTCAGATCAAGAAAAATGTGAGACACCCAGTTAAATTTGAATTTCAAATAAAGAACTTTTTTTTTTATATCAAGTACCAAATATCGCATGGTTCCCATACTAAAAATTTGTTCACTGCTTATCTGGAATTCAAATTTAGCCAGACTATCAGTAGTTAATATTGCAACTCTGTTATGGTCACATGTGTGTTCCTTCCTTACCTGACCCATTTTGAATCCTGTTAGGATTTTTGGGACTGAGAAAAGGCCTTGGGGAGGAGGGGTCAGTACAAAAAGCTTTCACCAGCAGAGCCCTGCATTGGTGCTTCTAGAATTTCAGGCATATTTGGAGCTGTGCCTTGTATTACGTGCCATGGGACAAAAATGACTGTGTGAGCACAAATGTGCTGGCTGTTTTTTTCCCCTGAACATAATGAAAATTAAAATGCTCTGAATGAATTGAAAGGCTGCCAGGGGGCTGTAAGTGTTTTCCGCTCCAACTGAGACACATCTATGATTCCATCTTAAGCCTCTTTCTGTTAAGTATTGAGTGGTTATATGAAATTCAGTAAACCTTATTTATAAGAAAATATTTTCATATTCCCTTCAGTAACTTTGTTTTCTAAGGCCATTGGCATCAGGTGATTAAAGTCATTTCTCTAGATAGTTGACCACAAATATAAAGCCTGTGAATACACAAAATAAAGTTAAAATCCAGCTTCCAGGAGGTTGTACAGTATTGTTAAATAAAGAGAAAAGAACCTCAAGCCTGGCAAGGGGCGTGGCAGTTATGGTGCCGGACTCCAACATGGCCAACCGTGGTTCAAGTCTCAGACCTGGCACCCTGAAAATCACACCCTGTGTGTGTGTGTGTGTGTGTGTGTGTCCCTAAAATCCCAGGAGGAGAATGGAGGAAAAAGGATAAAGGGTTATGGCATGGCCATCCCTCTGGGGGCTGATTTCTCACTTTCTCTCCAGTGAGCACACACATCCTATGGCAAAAACCTTAAAACGTGAAAAAGAAAGAAAAAAGAACTTCAATAATTTGAGCCTCACTTATTCAAAGAGGTACTAAACCAAACTTTGTATTTGTATTATAAAAATAAAATTTTTCTAGGAACATTAATTGACTAGGTAAATAATAAAGCAAATCATTCCAAATCAGTTATTAAAGCAGAGTTTTCTAAAAACAACTTAGTCAATGGTTGATTGTCCTCCTTGAAATGAAGTAAGATAACTAGTAAGCAGGCTAACTAGTAAAGTCTGAATGAGATTCATCCTTAAAACATTTTTTTATTCCTGGAATCAGCAGTTGGCGTAACAGCTATGTCGCTGGACTCCCGTGTAGTTGACTGTGGTTCGAGTCCTGGACCCAGTAGCTTAAAACTCACGCCAGGAGCATGTGTGTGCGTGCCCAAGATCCTGAGAGGAGAATGAAGGAGAAGGGATTGCAGTGTGGCCATCCCCCCTGGGGGGTGATTTCTGTCTCTCTGTCCCTCTCTGTCTTTGTGGCAAGTGCACATGCCCTACAGGAGACAAAAAAAAAAAAAAAAATCTCTCAAACACAACATGTTGTTATTCCTAAATAGCATTGTTTTTAGTTCTTCTTAATTAGTGATTTTGGTAATATTCTAAGCTTTATTTTTAACATATCCTTGAGAACAATTTTTTTTTTCCTTTTTTTGAGAGGTTTTTTGCTACAGGGCGCGTGCGCTCGCCAGACAGACAGAGAGAGACAGAGAGACAGAAAGCGAGAAATCACCCCCCAGGGGGGATGGTCACGCCACAATCCCTTCTCCTCCATTCTCCTCTCGGGATCTTGGGCACACACGCACACACGCCCAGTGTGAGAGAACAATTTTTCACCGTAAACCATTATGATAACGTTATCACTAAAATTAATGCTTTTAAAATGTTTACTTTAAAAGAAATGTTAGAGAAAGCATCTCAATTAGAAATAGGACAGGACTTTAAAAACTCATGGAAAAATGGAATTAAAGTGCAAGTTTATTTGGTGGAAAAAATATTGGGTCGTCAAGAAAGTCATGACGCATTTTTCATAGAAAAACATAGGAAGGTTGTCATGACTTCCCAACAACCTAGCAGTCTGAAATCCATGCATCATTCTTCGAAATACACGTCTCCCATGAACTTTCTGCAGACCCCTCGTACATAATTTCCCTATTTCTACAACGGTATTATGGTGTGTCTTATGATGTGGTTTTTTTTTGTCCCTAACAGTTAGGTAAGTTCAGCTCAGTGGTTGAAGAAGCAGTTTTGCTTCCTTGCCCAGGGACAAGCACCATACTGGTTGCCAGGAAATATAAGCTACATTACACACAGTCATGCTCCTCGAGAACCTTTGGTCTTAATGTATTACTGTTCAGAGCCACAAATGCTTTGATTAAGGGATACTCAAAGGATTCAGTCTAAGGAGAAAGGCAGGCCATTAAATGCTGCGTGGAGGAGGTGTGAGCAGAGCTGAGTGATGAAACTGGAAAATACTCCCTTTCATCATTGCACTTTCTGCTTCGTAGAGCTTCCATCACATTTATAAGATGTTATCCCACTTAAATACTCAGCGGAGACCTGCCAGGCCTCTACCATAGCAACAAACAGGGTTATCTGTTTCCATAGGGATCCATAAGGAATCTGAAGACTCATGCCCTTTGTATGTTCTGGAAGTGGGTACATCCTGTGTTTCGAACTGTAAGATGAGTCAGCTTCCACCACCTGCTTAGAAGGTAGACTGTCGGTACAGAGGGTGTTCAATCCCTGTTTCCATCCTCCTCTGGACCTGTAGAAATGGGCAATTTGGAAAGATAGAAGGAGGAGGCTTTCTTACAGTTTGTTGTAAACTTTTCTTCAAAGGTTTATGGAAAATGTGTCTTCTGAAAACAAAACAAAACGAAACAAAACAAAAACCTATGCCCGGGTTCCCAAAGATTTTTGCACCAAAATAAACTCATACTTTAATTTCATTTGTCCATGCACTTTTTGAAGCCCCCTCCTTCCGGCTCAGGGGTCATTTTTAAGTCCACTGTCGCCGTTCCCCCTTCCCCTGAGAAGTGACGTAGTGAAATCAGCTTGCCTTTTCTCCTGGCCCAGGGCTCGCCACTCCCTGGCAATTGTCCTGGGCCATCTTGGTACCTATTTATAAAGTTACGGTGGCATTGGAGCAGGTTTGTGTACAAGGAGGTGTACCAGCTTGGGGTGAACCTGGCTGGGCTCAGTTTTTGCATCTGCCTCCTCTTTGGTGGCTAAGAGGGTCCAGTCACATGTTGTCGGCATCTGTTTCCTCATCTGTAACCCCGAGATGCTGCTCCTTACCTTACTGGGTTTGGAGAACAAAACGAAATGATGTAGGTGTAGTCCTTACTCAGGCAGAGGGAAAATAAGAAGACATTGCCTTCTTGAGCTATGGAGAAGTGTTTAAATAAATCTGAAATATAGGGAAAAAATAGATACGTAGTGATTGAGTGGAGGAACGAATTACTGAGAATGCGCTGATGGTGTTAAACTGTTTATGACCTATGGCAAGGCAGTCCCAGTTCTTCAGTGAACTGAGGAGTAACGGAGCGTTCCTCTTCCAAAGGTGTGGCGCCCTCCGTGGAGGCCTTTGATAAGCTGATGAACAACATGGTGGCTGTGTTTTTAAAGAACAGTAGGATCCTTGCTGGTGACGTGGAGACTCACGTGAGTACTTTCCTTCCCCGCTCTGCGAGTTCCCAGGGAACTGTCCGGTCTCCGACACCACGAATGGTGAAATGACATGCTTACTTTATGTGTCTGTGGGCTTGTTGTTTTACCCTGCCTGGGCAGGTGGTTAGGACACTCGGTGACTTACTCGTACATGCTATCCTCTCCTCCATGCAAACTGATTGAGTGTCACCCGGTCTGGAAGCGGGGAGGAGAGTGGTGGACCAGCCAAGCCAAGTTTTGCCTTCCTGGAACTTCTCTCTGTAGCCTGGAAACAGGCAGTGTATATACGTGGGGACAGTAATCCGGCGGGGTAATGTGATGAAAGAATAAGGAGGCAGGGCAATGATCTGGACGGAGCTGGGAGCGATGCTGTCTGAGCAGGTGACAGCTGAGTAAAGATCCGAGTGGGGACAGGGAGTGTAGGGACATGGGAAGAGAGTTCCAGGCAGAGACAGCAAGGGCAGAAGCCCAGAGATGTTCTTGGCAGAGCAAGAAGGCAAGGGGAAAGGTGAGGGAGAGAGAGCCAGGGGCCACATCACAGCAGGACCTTCGCGGTCTCAGTAAAGGACGTGGCTCAGATTCCGAATGTGCTGGGAAGTCACCGAGGCCCCGGGCAGAGGACCGAGGGCGAAGTGACTCATGCTTTAAAAGGGATCCTCTGACTGAGCCGCCTCCCTCGCCAGCCTCCCTCCGTTCCTAAAGTGGAGCCTGTGGAAATCGCCTCTCCCCATTGGGGTGCCACCTCAGATATCGGAGAGTAGCAGGGGCTGATGAGGAGGTGGAGCAGCTGGAACCCGTGTACTCTGGGTGGGGATATGAAATGGTGCCACAGCCGTGGAAAACAGCATGGCGGTTTCTCAAAAAATTTAAAAATGGAATTATCATGATTCGGCAGTTCCACTTCTGGGTGTCTATCACCCCAAATTGAAAGCCTGGTCTGAGAGGTATATCTGTAAGCTGTGCTCACAGCAGACTGGTTCACAGCAACCCTAGTGCCCACCAGCAAACAAATGGGTAAAGACAATGGGGTATGTCCGTACTACAGAACCCCGTTAGTGCAACTATGTGGCTGCTACGGAAATGAGTCAGACACACAAATGCCATGTGATGCCACTCATCTGAGCTTCCTGGACTTGTCGAATTCACAGGGACAGAGAGCACCACGGCACGCCCCATGGCTGGGGGCTGGGGGGCCTCGAGAGTTGTTGCTTTATGGGTGAAGAGTTTGTTTTGCAAGTGGAAAATATTCTGGTGATCGTTTGCACACCAACGTGAAGACGCTTAATACTCCTGAACTGCACCCTTAAAAGTGATTAAGATGCTGCCGGGCATGCCTGAAGGGGCACCCATGATCCTGGCTGGCTGGAAGGCTGGGTGAAGATCATGCCATGAAAATACCCTGCTGTGGTCTCTGTCTATGCCTTTCTCTTTCTTCTAAGAAATAAACTTTTGGGGATCAGCAGTTGGCGTAATGGCTATGTCGCTGAACTCCCATGTAGTCGACTGCAGTTCAAGTACTGGACCCGGCGGCTTAAACTCACGCCAGGCACGTGTGCGTGCGTGCCCAAGATCCTGAGAGAAGAATGGAGGAGAAGGGATTGCGGTGTGGCCATACCCCCCTGGGGGGTGATTTCTTGCTTTCTGTCTTTCTGTCTCTCTCTGTTTTTCTGGCAAGTGCACGCGCCCTATAGCAAAAATCTCTCCAAAAGAAAAAGAAAGAAAGAAGGAAAAAAGAGAGAGAGAGAGAGAGGAAGGAAGGAAGGAAGGAAGAAAGAAAACTTTTTTACAAAAATGATAAATTTTATGTTACATGTATCTCACCACAATTTAAAAAAAAAATACAGACTGAGGAAAAGCAAACCCATAGAATTTGAGAATCTCTTGATTGGAAGAGACCCTTAAAATATCCACACCAGCTTCTCAGGCTTAGGCGCTTGTTTATACTTTTTTAAATGTTAGCATCATTCCTGAGGTCAGTCAGGGTTTGCATGCATTTAGTAAAATCTAATGCAATAGCCAAACAATTTAAAATTTAAAAAAAGTTATCACCACCATTCTTCTTTTTCATTGGCCTTTGTTTCTCGTGGAAGACTGCATTTCAAATCTGTCTGCCTGTACATTTTTCCACAGTGAGACAAGCCTGGCAAAACCACTTTCAGTGTAGATTAACTGAAATGCTGATTTCTTGAATAAAGTTGTGGTACAGGGCTTTTAAAAAAAGTATACAGGGATTCACTCTGTCCTTCCCGCATTAGATGTCCTGCACAGCACCCCTCACTGGTCTCCCAGGGTGCTGGGTGTCTACAGTTACACCAGAGGTCCCAAATTTATAATTACATAGGTGTTTATTTCTTCACATTGGAGAATGTTTGTTTGCCACATCTAAGAAAAACAAATATTCTTCAAATGACCTCCACTTTTATTACATGTTTTGTTAAAATACCCATTGGTTGGCCAGCCCCATAGTGCAGCAGTGAAGTACGGTGCATTGAAAGCTGAATCTCCCATGGCCACCCATGGTTCAAATCCTGGCTTAGGCAGCTTGGAAAACACCAGGTGCATGTGCTTTTGTGTCCAAAATCCCGATGGGATGGAGACATGGCAGGAAAAGGATTGCAAGGTGGCCATGCCCCATTGGGAGGTGTCTTCCCTTTTTCTCTCTCTCTCACAAGTACACATGCCTCTAGCCATAAATAAACAAATAAATACCCACTGGTGGGGGCCAGCAGGTGGCATGGTGGTTAAGGGCACTGTACTCCCACATGGCCAACCGCAGTTCAAGTCCTGGACCTGGTTGCTGGCTTTCTCACTTTCCCTCTCTCTTTCTCACTCTGTCCTTCTCTGGTTAAACTTAAATAAATAAATAGAGTTAAATAAAATAAGTCTTTAAAAAAAAATAAAAACAAACAAAAATACCCACTGATGAGAGAGGGAAACCTTTGATATGTTATGAGTTCCAGGAGGACCGTACATACTAAGAGAGGTCCACTCCACATGTATCCCCAGGTCTGTCATGCTGGTCTGCCCTTTTCTGCTGTGCTTTCGCTTCCAAGAGACCTTGTCTGCAGGGAGAGAATGCCTGAGCTTCTTATATACAAAGGCATGAAAATACCTGAAAGCTGGTGTGTGCTGTAAAGAACTGTCCTTCCCAGTACATCAAAGGAGACCCTTGAGTGGCTGACCAACTCTTAGTCTCTTGAACACCATCGCGCTATTATTCATTAATATTGACAGGTTTCCGATGTGCACAGCACATCATAATTCTTGTTAGTGATCTCTCACAAAATTCTCGATAGATGCTTTTTACTAGAGAGTAGGGCCTCTAAATAAATGTATTTAACTTGCATTTAATAAAATATTGTACTTGTAGACTAAGTCTTCCAACTGCACAGTCAACAGCCCTTTTCAATTCTTTTTAGAACAAAATGAATTATAAAGTATAGTTTGATTTATATTATTTTTCCTTCTTCCCACTTACTAACCTGTAAATAATTAGACTCCAAATGAAGGAATATTTGCAATAATAAATATATACTGCTTAAACAAGTTTTTAATTTGTTTATTAAAAAGAAAGAAGAAAGGGAGAAAAAGAAGGGAGGAAAGAAGGAAAATAAAAGAGGAAGAGAGAAATGCTTGTTATCTGAAAGTTTTGACTCTGACTCGGCCACACCAAGAAAACAACAGGCAGCCCCACTCCATCTGCCCTTTACTTTAATGCTCTGCACAAATAGTTTATTTTTTTCTCGCTATAGAAGCATGTGTCATTGGCATTAAGCTTGCAGCTGCTGCTTCTCACATAAGCCAGTAGTGGGGGTTGAACTTTGTTCCAAGAACACACCTGTTGCCTAGAAAAAAGCTTCTCGCATACCTGATTGTCCAGGGTGGAAATTTGAGAATGACACAAATGTGCATCATGTCAAATCCTGCCCCCCCTGCTTCCCAGCTATTTCCCAGATACTAATAATGCGCAGGGGCAGCCGGGCTATGATTTAACGTCTGTGTCGACGTGTTGGCTGCTGCTCGGGCTTAATTTACTGAACACTCAATAGTCTATTGACAGAACAGACCACAGAAAAGGGGAACTAATAGCTACAATTAGGAAGC